ATTGTGTCTACTTCAAAAGTATGATCTGTAAATTTGCGTTTATGAAAAGAAATAATGAAAGCTGCAATTACAATAATTTTCATAACATCTAAAAATATTTTCGTCTGCATAAACTATCCTAAGATGTTTTAATAAGATGTTTGAATAAAGAAAAATTATCACGGATTCTATACTAGCAGAAATAACAAATAATTGTTTCATCTGACGTCTTCAACATGTAACAAGCTCTGCGGAACTAATTATAAAAATAACGTACATGTGTATGTAATATAATTATAATGTAAGCTAAATTTCGTTTAATATATTTTGAATTTCTCTTATTAGTGATATAGTGGTAATAGAAACCTTATCGTGGTTCGTGTTATATAATATACTTATTGTAGAAATATCCGTAAAGAATGTGAATTTGAAGGATAGTAACAATTTAAATTGTAGTGGTTAAATTCACTACTTGTAGAACAGACGAAGCTTCATAAATAATACCATTAACGACGACGATGCTTCAATTTTATTTATGGTCATAACTTCGACGATGCTTCAATTTTATTTATGGTCCCACGATTATAGAAATTGCTAACGCAATTCAGCTTTTTGTAAGAATTATTTCGTCGATTTTAATGCTATTTATATATCTATCACATTCTGAAAAAAATAATTGTAATTTTTAACAATTACAAACATTACAAATATTTAAAGAGATAAATTACTAGCTTGAATCAAACAGAGAGAGGTGGGATAGAGAATATAAGGAGATAGAGACGGCAACAGAAAGAATAAACGATAAATTCAATCACATCATTCGTAAAACAGAACAAAAGAAAATATAACATTTATTATGAGAGTAATTGAAACTAACAAAAAAATAATACACGAGTAGTTGTGTTCGGAAACGCTGTCTCGCCGGCTGCTTGTACGTTAGACATGTGCAGTCCTGAAAACGCAATGCGCTGTGCACGACAAACACAATAATAATGACAAACTGATAAGTTACAAGACTTCTCGCAAAATTTGCATGACACCATCAAGCTACATCAGGTTGAGGCTTAACACAGTACGTGGTCGCGCTATTTGCGACTCATGCACTGCGAGGCGCGCAGGACAAAATAAAAAACTAACAGAAAGAAAAGAAAAAGAAAAGAAAAAAATAAGAAACAAAAGAGAGCTAGGTTACGAAATTAATGCGATAACTACGCGACAATTACGTGACAAGATTAAATGTTTTCAGAATGCCATTGCAAAACCTTATTCTAAATACGAGATTTACAGCGTAATCTTAACACTACGTAATATTCGCAACGCAGACATTTAATCTCCAAGAAGCCGATATTCCAGATTCATTTTCGAACTTGTGTCCATATTTTTAAGCCTATGATACTTGTAGCCACGAAATCCCGTCACTCGCCGGATTCCTGTCACTCGGCACACTCATAATAATCTTATTAGAGATTACAATACGAAACGCAAATACCGAGGCGATCAATACAATCGGCTCTACGAAAATTCGTGGCTTTACAACAAAAAAAAAAGGCTGCCTCACCGTCCTAGACAGTGTCTCGTTCAGCCACGTGTTCATCTGGATCCCTGGGAATGGCATCAAAAAACGTATAATAGCGGCGACAATCGGAAAACAAGAGAGCGAAGGATCTCTCGTTGATATTATTAGGTGTATAAATTAATTCGTACTGTTTTTTTCATAAACTTCGATTTCGACTTATTTTTCAATGAGTAATTAATTAATCATTGAAATATTCTCCGTTAACATCGATGACCTTATACCATCTATCGGGCAACTTTCGGATTCCATCACGATAGAAACTTGTTAGTTTTGAAGCGATGAAGTCATCGACAAAATGTCGAACTTTTTCAATTGAGTCAGTGTGTATTCGATAAGGAGTGTTGCATCGACTGAAACAAGCGGTAGTCTGAAGGGGCTATGTCTAGCAAATACGCCGTGTGAGGAAGAATTTCCCAGCCCAAGTTTAAGGTGGTTTTTTTCGTGGTTTCTGCTGTGTGCGGTTTAGCGTGTCTGTCATGGAGCAAAATGACCTTACGACTGCCTTGCCCAGCAAATAGCCATTTTTCCTCAATTGCATCGTTCAAATTAATTGTTGTTGGTAGAGCTCTGCTTTAATTGTCTGACCTGGTTCGAGAAGCATATAGTACAGCACATCCTTCTGATCCCACCATATACAAAAAAGAATCTTCTTGCAGAAGTGTTTAGGTTTTGCTGTTGATGTCGTCAGTTAATCAGGATCCATTCATGATTTTTTGTGTTTAGGATTATCGTACATAATCCATTTTTCATCGCCAGTTACGATTTTATGCAAAAATACTTTTTTCGTACTCTGGCGAGCAAAGAAATGCATATGGTCAACTGACGATTTTTGTTGTCAGCATTTAACTGATGTGGAACACACCTTCTTTTTTTGTGAATTTTTCCCAGCTGGTGCAATTGAACCGAAAGCGTTGGTCGCGTCACTCTAAGCTGCTCAGCAAGTTCTTTTTGTGTTTGAGTCGGGTTTTCATCAAACAGCGCCTGCAGTTCATAGTTTTCAAACATGCGAAGTTACCCAGCACGTGGTTGAAAGTTAACACTGAAATCACCGTCTTGAAAACGACTAAACTATTTTCTGCACGTTATTTGCACTCATTGCACCTTCTCCATAAGCGGAACAAATCATTTCGGCTG